AAGTTTTTTTTCTGAAATCCTACATTTATAAAACCTCATTAAGCGAAATTGAACCACAACTACAAACCTTCCAAGACTTGGAGGTCTTTCTAAACCGGTAGGCAGAGCATCAACCACCAGAAATATAAAATACACTCAATTAAACTCTGGAGGAAATCCTGTCAACGGGGCAGCTATTAGTCATACTCTCCACAAATTGGACCTTACGGTGGCAGCAAAGTTAACCATTATAACAGGAAGCCCCATTTCCAGTTTGCCACAAGCTACGTTCGCAAAACACATGAAACATGTAGAAGAAGACACTCTGGTTAGACCTTTGACCTACATGTAAAACTCTTTAGTATAGCAAAAAAAAAAAAAACTCCCGACATTGGATAACCCAGGAACTAAGGGTCCACACTGTGAAACATGACTGTGGCTGCATCATGAGAAACCCGTCAGAGGTGATGAGAAGACTGAAGACGCCACAAAAGACTTGAAACGAGGGGCGAATTTTAACCGTCCAACAAACCGACAACCTGAAATATACATGTTAGACAAGAGCAAAGCATTATTGTTGAGTTAGGGTGGCCCAGTCAAAGTACGGGCCTGAATTCAAATGAGATGCTATAGAACCACTGGAAGGTTGATTTTCACGGAGAACCTTAATCCAGACTGCTGAGCTGTCACAGAGGAAAGAGTCTCTGGGAAGCTGGTAGTGCAGCTGTAGTTAAAAATGTAAAATTCTGCCTAATTTTCTTTTACTTCACAGACAACCCCCCCCTCCCAAAAGAACTAACTTTAATGTGACTTAAAGCTTCAACAAATTGCAGCGTAAGGTCAAAACACTACAGGTGGAGCCTGTTAGTAGGGATCACTTAAAAATGAAAAGAAAGACACGAAGAAAGGGAGAGGCAAAGAAAGAAAGAGAGAAAAGCATTGGGGCCACTTTAGTCCTTTGAAATTCCAGACTTTTCTCCGTGTTTTGCAGAACGCTGCCACAACGCCTTATGGAAAAGCAACTTTTAAGCAATAAGAAATAAGCAGACAACACAAAAACAAGCAAAACATCCCCCCCTCCCCCTCTCTACCTCCTGCCGTCATGTTGGCAGGCAAATTTAAGCAGGCGTGGATAAACAATTTCTCAAACATTGTTTCACTTTATGGTTACATTTTCTCATATCAAACTGTTCACTGATACAAATGCTCCCTGAAAATATGGCATCTCCAAAACACACTCATATTTCAGCCCTCATAAAGCCGAGCCCGGAGTCATCCAGCCTGGAAATTGCCCATGGAGAATTCGTGTTCGCCTGGATATTATACGTGCCACATCCCATCCCGGGCTTTGTGAAGACCCTCATCCCTGAATGGCCAATTTCGCCCCCACCCCCACCCAGCTCTCCTCCACACACTGACATTTCAGCTATCGCACTGCCTTCGGTCATAGGGAAGGAAATCTAGCCCACCCCTCTCTTCAAACACTGTCAGAGGAGAATCTGCCGCTGATACCCCCCTACCACGATCGGCACCACCTCTGCTATACACTCCATCCCTGGCGGCAACATTATGCTGTCCTTGATGTTTTATCATTAGTTTGGAAGTGTGTGGTCCCCCACTGCTGTCTTTTGATGGAGTGCAGACAGTAAAGGCATGGAAACAGCCAGCCAATTTCCCTTGCTGCAGTTCTCCCTCAGCAAGGGGCCGGGCTATCTCCCCCCCCTACCCGCCCTGCACCGCAGCCTGGCAAAATAATTCCCCTTGATGAGGCGGGCTTTCAGTCCCTCTTAGTATGGTTGTTTACCTCAATCGGCCTCCATTTTGTCTTCCTGATTATTTTGGCGCGAGGTTAGCGGCGGCTCTGATACGTGGCGTGAGGAGCAGAGAGGACAGTGTTTTAGTTTACCGTCTTGCCTGAATGTTGGGAAAGTAGCAGTGTCCTCAATCGATGCCAAAAGTCTTTGCTCGTTAGTCACTAGTCGTTTTCAAAAGTGAAATTTAACACTTAATGTAATGGACTGTAATGCAACCCCAGAGTTTTCCTGTCAGCTCCTTTTTTAAAAGATGTTATCCATAAAATCAGATTTATTTCCATAACAAAGGTTCTGTCGTGAAACGCGGTTGAGACGCCGCCTTCGTTTCCGTTACAGATGCGTGCCAAACTTTCTCAATATTACGCTAATGTTGAGGAAAACGCAATTTTGCAATTGCAGTGTATTCTTTGAATAAGAAAAGCAATTACAATCACACGTGAATGTTTGTTCATGCGACGTCATTAAAATAAATCATGCCGCGTCATCATCCTCCAACTACTTCCTGTTGTCGTCTTCTTCATGGATCGCACCAGTAGCAACATCTGCTTGTTGATCGCGTGATGTGAAGAAAGATGTTTGGTCGGAGTTTTAGGAAATAAACTAATTTCGATGTGTCCAACAAAAGCCACCTCATCCGAGCACTAAAACTTTTGTTTTGAGTTTTACTGAAATTGACGCATTGAATTAAGCAAATTTATTATCTATTATATAGTGGAAGGAAACTCGGTTCCTGTGTTGATCACTTGGAATTGACAGATGTGCCTAATAAAGAAATGTTGGCCTCCTGCAAAGTGCTTCCATCTGGTGTATAGTAGAAGAACTAACTTGTTTCTCAGTCGATGCAGCGCAGCATGGAGACGATCAGCTTGTATTTCTCCTGAGGCAATGAAACCCAGGTTGCTTTAATAGTTGCCTTCAGCTCAACGACATGAACTGATCTGGTGTTTCTTATCTTCTCGTTGACAATATCTCTTATATTTTGTGAGGTTTGGCAGGCGATATTATATGCTACTTTTTTTCCCCTACCACTCAACTTTCCATTAATAAATTGGGATGCAGCATTTTGTGAACAACTCAGTGGGTCAACACCAGTGGATGATATGCCCCCCCACCAAATCATCACCAACTCTGGAAACTTGAACCACTTCCTCCAGACTCTTCCACTTTGTCTTCTGAATATTATTATGTATTCATTTTTACCTGAATGGAGAACTTGGGCTTGTTTTTTTTCTCCTTAGCTCAGGCAAAATACTTTTGGTTCAGGAAGCGTTGGACCAGACGTGTTGCCATGCGTACATCTATTTGTGATGTCTCTAACCACCCACTCTCCTCCCCCAAGGCTCATGAATGGGCTTTGATCAAAAATTCTCTCTGGTTATTCTTGTTGCTTGTGCGCCAATGTCTACCAAACTTTTTCCTTCCACTCGATTTTCCAATAATACAGTGGATTGTTGCAAGAAAATCCACTAGATTTTCTGATCTAGTAGATTCTATCAACATCTCAAAATTGTAGATACCGTTCCATGGCCAATACATAATATTTGCGTTCTGAAAAAAATGTTGTTGGTCCTTTGTGATATTCAAATATTTCACTTTAAGCCACAATCATTTACATTTACAGCTAATTAAGCTTCAATTACGTCACCGGTTGCAGAGATGATTCAATTCACAAGTTTCGGTTTTGAATCACTCCATAAAGTTTTAATGTGATTCTAAAATATTTAGATGAGTGTGCAGTGTATTTACGATCGTGACTGCAGCCATTTGACGCGGGCGATAAAAACAGTAGCGTAATTGAGATGCAGGCTTTAAAATGGCATCAGAATCAGTTCATCAACAAGAACTAAAGAGGAGACTGTAAAAATCCCGGCTGCATTTTGAGCTAGGTAGGAATATTGTGTTTGGTCTTGGTTTGAACGTAGAAGGACCAGTAAATGTGCCTCTTCAACACGCCAAAGGTCTTCACAGTGAGATATTTATGCTTTACAAGGACTTTTAGTTCAGAAAACACAAAAGTTCTTTCATTCATTTCTTTATTTTAAGCCTCGACTTCTGTTGGCATGAAAACGTAAACAGACGGCTAACAGGATGCAGCGTTAGCCGCTGTAGCTTCATGCTAACATCAGTTCCTTGCTGATGTTAGCTAGTACTGCTTCAAAAATGGGTTTATAAGTCTTTTTTTTTTTTAAACCCCAAGTCTGTTTGAAAGCAAATGTCAGATGCCAAGGTGTTTGTAAAGGCACCAACAAATTTGGAAATCTAAGCGTTCACAGTGTTTTTATTAAGCTAGGCTATTAAAGGCGCCAGTGATTTATTTATTAAGCAAACAAACTTGTTAATAAAATCGAGTTCTTTTGAAGTAAAACAAAATGGTGGTCTTAAAATGACATGGAAAAAGTTGAAAGTTCTTGAAGGATTCCTTATGAAAGGGTAGACTCATTTCATTCACTGTTATTGGGTTATTTATTTATTTACGTTTTTTTTTTTTTTTTTGAGAAAAAGACGGGGGAAAAATGATTTCCTGCTGCCTTTTTTTGTATCCAATTCCTCACCAACATGTTGGGAAATGTATTTAAAGCACACACAGGATGTGGTTAATAGCTGTAAACAATTCATTAGAGCAATGTAAACAAAACAAAAACAACAAAAAAACATAGTTGCCACAGATATTGACCAGAGACGATTCAACGTTTTCAAGAATGTTTTCTAAAAACACAGGTATTGATAGATTTTTTTTTTTTTTTTGGTGTTGATTCATTTATTCAATGTCATTTGCAAACGTATTCCCCGACGTCTTAAAAACAGTTTCCATGGACGTCGTGTGTCAAGTTCTCCACCAACGAATGCGAAAACAAACAAAAGAAAAGATGGAGAGACGTTATGCAGTGGTCGACAGCATTTGGAGTTTGTCCTCTCCGCTGACATCTGACACTTTTATTCTTTAAAATCTTGTGGGGTGAAAGAAATAAAAAAAAAAACCCTGAAGCTATCGTTTGCAAATGCCTCCTCACACCTACTAACATGTACTTTCAGCTCACACGGTAGCTTCAACATGTGCATGTTGGGATGTTTTTCGTTTTTTTCAACAAAAAAAAAAAAAAAACAAGTAGTGCAGCTTCTCATCTTCGGTGACTTTGTCTCTTTCTTTGCTCTTGTCTTTATTTCTTATACATGTTCTTTATTTTTTTTCCCACTCTTTTCATCTAGATGCTCCCACTACTATCCCCACACCCACCACCAACCCAGACAACACGCAAGGTACTGTATTTCCCCACTACTGTCCCTCTCAACAAAACAAGTGTGTGTGTGTGTGTGTTTTGTGAGAGAAAGAGAGATTTTACACGCTTGTGTGATGGGGGCAAAAAAAGAGAACAAGGGTTTGTACCTACAGTGGAAGAGAGACGGAGGCTAGCCAGTTTAAATTCGACGGCGCCGTTGAAAGGTGACAGTCGGAGACGCCTGTCACAGCCGTCTCAGGTGCGTTTGATCAGAGGGAAAATTTGCGACGCTGCTTTGCCGAGGTGTTATCTTATCAACATCTGCAGCTATATATCTCAACTGGACCCATCCGTCACATTGTAAGGCCCGTTACATCCCCTCTACAAATGCTAGTCACATTTTCAACAACTGTTTTCCTGCAGACAGACGGGGAAGTAGCTTATTTTGCCGCGGTGTCGGCGTGGCAACCTCTCGCGTCATTTTTATACGCTTTAATTTACCTCTGCTGCAAAAAAAACAAAAGTGTTTTTCAGTGCAAACCGTCATTTTCATTTTTATTTATACTTTTTTAAGGCTATTATTTCAAAAGCGCTGTTAAGGCTAGACAGATGGTGAGGCAACCTTGGGAGTTGACATTTGGATATGCCAGAATGTGACATTTTAATACAAAAAAAAAAAGTCTTTAAAGAATAGATCGGTTTATCAATAGCCGCTTTAAAGATATGGCAATTTTTCTTTTGTCGTGGGCACTCTGCAATTCATTTAGTTTTGAAAAATAAATAAATGACAATCCAAGGCGACCAATAATAAGTTTTGAAATAAAAAAACATTCAAAAAACTCAGGAGTGAGACGGGATGAAAGGCAAACGCATTCTAATGAGGCGACTCTCTAGATAACATTCATTTACATTTTCAGTTGATCAAAAAAAAAAAAAAAAAGCTGACATTTTAGCTCTATTTTTGTGCGTGGGATAAAAATAGCGGCAGGTAAATCTCTCTCGAAAATGAAGCAACTTTTGTCCCTCTGGTTTCTCCTTCAGAACTGCCTCTCCTCTGAGACAAACGGCAAATCCGAAGCGGCGCAGATCAGCCTTCGTCCTCTAAGGGTTAAAGCCTCAGTCAGCTTACCGACTCTCTCTGGGAGTCAAACGGGACGCTGCTTTGCACATCTGTTACATTACGCTGCAGTTTTCCATAAGCCCCTCTCCGTTTGAGTCACCGTGATGCTGCCGTCTCCGTTTTGTGCTAAAACATTCCAAGAAGACGGGCCCCAAAGAGGATTTAGCGTGATTTATGTGAAACATGCTGGGAGGCTGTAATTGAGCTTCCTTGCAGTTCGCTGCTCTCCTAAATACTCTCTTGTCGCAGGGCAGTTCTGAGCTAGCTTGTGGTAGATTGCTCTGCACTGCCTTAATTAGCATAGCGCCACAGTGCAGCATTTCTGTCCTGCTAATGAGTAAATATAGCTTTGTTGGAATAAGCACGCCACCACTGAGGAACTGTTCTTCCCAGTTTTTAAAGCCAGTGTTTGTTCGTCCAAATTTAGTGTTGCTCTAAAAATATTTAAGGCAATGTTATAAAAGAAGTTGCCAATTTTTATCTTTGATGCTTGTGTCCCTGTTTCAGAAGACTTGATGAAAACTTTAAGTTGCATGTGGTGAGTGTTTGGATATCTGTACCCATGGAGTCCATTGGCTAAATTCTTATTCTTGGTCACGAGTCAGCAATGTGAGCGCTTGTGCCACATCTCCATGGCAAACGCCTAATAGGAGGACGCGACACGAGGACGAAAAATAAAACCAAACAAGAAAAGTAACAGCAAGTTGACCAAATCTACGCCAAGGATACAACGGATAGATTTTTAGTACCCAAATGTTTCCAATTTGAACTTCCTTTTTAGCAGCTTTTTGTTTGTTTGTTTGTGTTTTTGCACCAGAGTCCTCCATAATCAGGCTACTGGACACTTTTAAGTATTTTTTATGAGTGCTAAATTTGGCAACCAATCAAGAAAGAAAAAGAAAAATAAGCATGAGCTAGTAGCATGTCAGTAAGGTGAACCGCGTAAACCACACATCAGTAAAACATGTATGAGTTCAATATCAGATATAGCAACACATGAAGAAATAAAAAGGAAAAGGACGCCACTTTCCCACTGTAGAGTGAAAAACATTGAACTGGCTTGTTAGAGTTTGTTTTGTTTCTTTTTCTTCATAGTTCTTAGATGGAAATGTGTTTGTTTTTCTGAAATATGATTCAAGTTGCTATATTTATATCTTGCCTGCAATTTTCTCCTTTAGTTGTGAGTTAAGAAGTGTCAGTGCCAGAGCCTAATATTGTCTTGTGCAATGAAAGAGCAAATGTCATAACAAAGCGCAGAAACTCACAGCGGTTTGTCTTCTGCGTTTGTTGTTTCATGTTCGGAAAGTTTCGCTGGAAATTGTATCATCAGGTCTCTCTGACTCTTCCTAGATGCAGAGAGCGAGTGTGTGGGCGGGTAGACCACTGGGGAGAGACGAGTCACTGTTTTAAAAGGAACATTTCTTTTGTGTGTTTGAAAGTTTTCAGGCCTCGTGTCTCGACACGTGTCGCCGCCGAACATTCAAAGGAGTCTGAAAAGCTGCTCGCTTCCGACGTTGTCTCAAGTCAAGAGACGGCGCGGGTGTGTTTAAGGCGCGGCTGCCGATCCGGGTCGCTTAAACGATTTTTAGAGTCTCCACGCAACAGATCCAAGATGGGGGGGCCAACGTCGAAACAAGAACCGGCAGGCCCCGGTTTCCTTTGCGTTTGGTCCGGGGAAGTGGGGGGTATAACCGGGCATGTTGAGCAGAGAGTCTGTCGTAATAATGCTTGAGCTCCTCAGATGTTCACAGATGATCCAAAGCAGGGACATCATATCCTCGGTAAGCCTCCAGTAAACCCGAGGCGTTCAGGAGAGCCAGAGGAGGGTAAAGACTCTGTGTTGTTGACTTGATTGAGAACACCCGTTTCTGCAGATCGTGCTGCTGTTGGACCTCAGCGGATTAATCCCACCCACAGAAAGTGTCTGTCGCCCCTTTAGATGAACTTGCTTTTATTTCGTATTCTCCTACTGCTTTGTTTTTGTTTTTTCTTCTTTCTAATATTTGACTTGCTTAAAATGGCTAAGCAAAAACCAAAGTGGGCTTGTAAAATGCATTTCCCCCCTGATAGACTTTGTTTCGTTTTCGTGCTTCTTGGATGCACTTTATTGTTTCAGCTAAACAAACCCTTTTTAGTGAAAGTAGCTTTCAAGAGAAGATTTCATTTGTTAAGGGAGGAAAATAAGGCTCTCCAAACAATTCTGGCCCTCTGTGGAAATCAAATAAATTGTTGCTTAATCCAAATAACAAGTAGTGCCTCCAATTGCTGCCATCTCGGTACGATTGAAGTCCAGACCTCGAATAAGACACTTTATAACCAACATTTCTTTCCTGTAGTGTTACTTTTGTATATTTCTTCTTCCAAGCAGCATGTTAGAGAACTGAATTTGTGGCAGAGATGCAAATCTTTCAGCACCCAGTGATTCAGTTTGATTCAGATTTTTAGGGTCATGATTTGATTTTCTTATTCAAATGAACAAGAGATTTTGTTTAAATGATGTGACTGACCAGAGGAAAGGACAGTGCAAAAAAAATAGAACATGTTTTCTTTAAAACAATTCAGTAATATTTCAGGATAATTTTCCAAAGTGATTGTGGATTGCTGATATTTCCTTTGGCAGTGGTTTCCCCAGGACATTTCTTTGCTCAGTCTCTCGCTTCTGTTGTTGGATCTTGAATGTTGACCTGAACAGAGGCAGGTCAACGTTCTCGGCTCTAGATGTTGCTTGGGTCTGCTTTGGACTCTTTTGACTGGCTCATCGACGCGTTTTGGGGTAATTTTGGTAGGTTGGCCACTTCTGGGATGGCTTGCCGTTGTTGAACGTTTTGGCCGTTTAAGGATAATGACCGTCCCTGTGGTGCGTCGGAGTCCCACAGCGTTACAAATGGCTGTGTGACCCTTTGTAGACCAATAGAGGTGAAGCGTTTGTTTTTCCATCTGTTTTTTTAACATCTTTAGCTTTATGTCCTCAGGTTCCATTTAACCAATTTCTAGCAAATACGCAGCCTGGCTGATGAAAATAAAATCAAGTTAGTTAATTCACGTGATTGTAGGTCACCTCTTCTCCTTTAATCAGCAAAAGCGTCATTTGAAAACTGAACTTTTACGGTTTCACCCAAAAGTTACAGATTTTTCAAATTTTACACTGAACCCTTGGGGGAATGAAAGTTTTACTATGAAAGATGATCATATTTATGTATAACGAGCATTTTGTTTAAATGAAGAGCATTTATGGTGAGTGATTTTTTTTTTGCTCTATTTCTATTCCACTGCACACTATAATAACCAAGTAACTTTTTTTTTCCTTTCTTAAAAAAAATCCCAGAGACTGCACTTCAAGAGTCTCAAGTGAACCATTCCCCGTTGCAAACGTCTGAATTTACACATCACCCACTGCTTTTATTAACTGCCTGTAAGAGCTTTGCCAGCTAACAAAGTAGACATGAATTTTACCCGGGCCTCCTCGGCTCGCCCTGCGGACCTAATCTGTGAGCGACTATATAAATTTCGTTGCTGTTTTGGCTAAGCTGTGAGGGGTTTTTGCGGAGCCTCGTAACTTTCACGAGGCGTGCAGAGAAACATAAATGATTTCAGGGTCATTCTCATGACTCCTCTCGACAAAATGTGCTTATGCTCAGACCAAAACCGTCTTGTGATGGTATTTCAGGAATGCACAGGCTGTGGTTAACTCTCTTTTTTTTTTCCTCTCAGTCCTGAGGTTTCCACTGGAGTTTATTGGTTGGATGGTTGGCTGTTTAATCGCCATAATAACTTTTTCAATGTGACACCTGCTAAGTAATATAGTGTATTACCTGCACAAACAAGTGTTTAGTTGTGTTACAATATTATTTATTATTTCGATAAACTTGACTTTTTTTCACCATCATCATCACTGTTTTAGAAATTGTGATTAGTTTTAT